TTTGTGTCCAGTCTAAAACGGTCTTCCAGCAGTTTGTGACCATCAGACCTGGCTCTTGGTTTCTCTGGATCTGGGTAAATGGCTGCGGGAATGCTTCAAGGTGCAGCAGGGGCTCTAGAGAAGCCAGCAGATGACAAAGGCCACTGACCAGACCTCACCCTGGAGTAGGGGCTTGAAGCTGCCCCCTTGAGTCTGTGCCCTTTCATACATCCCAGTACTTCCCTTAGCCACATCCTCATCAGGTCACAGCTGAGATGCACTGGGTAGGGGCGAGGCCCAGCCTAGCAAGGGGCACCGGATCCAGGGTTGAGCTGTGTGGGGCAAACACTGCCGTTGCTGGCGATGCTGCAGCCTGGAGCAAAGGGCGGTGAGAGTTGGGCAAGCCCAGCAGAGAAGGTGGCTGATGGATAGGCTGAAGTGCATTGGCAGACACCGGCAAGGGCCAAGGATGCATTTGCATGGGAACGCTGCAGTGCATTGGCAGAGCTGGGTGTGCTGCAGGGCACACGATATAGCCCTGGTGCTGCTGTAAGTAGGAAACAGGCGGAGGAGGGAAGTTGTTCAGGAATCACAACTTTCATCTCTCCGCTGCCTGGCTCTGGGGAGCCGTGTGTGTTTGCAGCCTGCAGCTGTGAGGCTGGGGCTGTAGGAAGTGCAGGGCCCTTGCAGGGCAGTGCCGACCTATGCCAAGGCTGAGTCTTACAATGCCTGACTCCAGTTCGGGTGGCAAGTGCCAACCACCGAGGCGTCTGCATCCTCCGCCGCTCCCATCCCGGGTCTTGACATCTGTCTCTGCATCAGCATCTTCACGGCTCAGCCCTGTTGTGTTTCACAACTGCTAAGCTAAAGATTCAGCTAAACGCCCACCGGGAGGCAGGCGGCAAGGCCGTGTCTCTGCAGGGTCCAGGAAGCACTTGCTGGAATCCCAGGGTGGGCTGGAAAAACTATGGGAAAGCAAATGCTTTCTCTTACACTTCACAGGACTTTTCCAGGAGGAGCCTGGGACGCAGAGAAACCTTCTGAGAGCTGCTCTGGTGGGCTGAGCGTGATGCCTGGGGTGGGGGAAGCCAGTGTCACTGCCACAGCATGGTTTGGGCACCAAGATGAGCCCGCGCCGGCCCACAGGCTGGGTGTCAGGAGATGATGGACCCAGGGCTCCCCAGCACATGCAGCCTTGGGGCCAGGTGAGGCACTTCCCCCCTGGGGAGCCCGCAGACAGCACTTGCTCGCTGGCCGACGGACACATTGTCACCTCTCGCACTGCTGCCAATGCAACTCCTGCACCCCCAGCAAATGCCTTCTGCTGCGGAGAAAGCATTTGCTGGACTTGGCTTCACCCCTGCTTCAGGGCTCTGGGGACAGGATCTTTCCCTCTCAGCTGCCTCGATGATCTCCAGGGTGATGAACTCATCAGCCTCATGAAGCACCGGGGAAAGTGTGGCGTCTACCTGGCAGCCTGGCTTGGGCTGCTGTGCATCCTCTGACTCCTGCTGCCCAGCTCTGGGGACACAGGCACCCGCCAGCTGCTGCACCCCTTGGCGCGCACCGCTCGAGCTGAAGGACGGTGCCTGTCTGCCATCTACCGGAGGCACTTTGCCCTGCAGGCTTCCCAAGGCCATGAAGACGGTCCCAGCTGAGTGCAGAAAACGGGGCAGCGGGTCTGCAGAGCACTCCAGCATCTCAGGGCTGGGGATCCTGGAGTAGCCAGGCCACAAGCAAGGGGGTGAGGGAGGAGCAGGGCCTTCCAGCACAGCTGTGGGGGATCCCAGGGCTGGTGCATCCAGGTGCTGTGGGTCAGGACTGTGGAGCACCCGCCGACCTGTGCAGGAGAGAGCCCGGTAGAGCCAGCCCCAGGGCTCGGGGAGCTGGAGGGTCTTCCTGTGCATCTCAATTCAATGCTGAGCACCAGGTGGGGAATCTCGGCTGCCCCTCACTAGACACCATATAAAATGCAGATGTAGCAGGCCCATTTCTGGGGCAGAGAGGAGCCAACAGCTTGGGTGGGGAGGTGGCATAGGAGACCCAAGCATCCTTACTCACAAGTCAGCTGGGTGTGGGGTGGTCTCCTGCCACCGACCCTTACGGGCATCCTTTGGCCAGGGCTGGGCAGTGGGCATAGGCTTGCAGCTCTGAGGCAAGGCTGAAGCAGTGACCCTAGGGCTCTGGGGATGACTGTAGCTTGGCCTGGTCCCACGGGCTTTTGGGATGTCCCGGGGACTCCATAGGTGCCCTGACCGAATGGGGATGAGACCCTCATCCTGGCGGTTCACGCTGCCACCTCCAGTGGGGAGACCCCAGCCCCCAGGTGGGTAGTGGGCAAAAACACTGGGGGTTAGGCACGTGGAAGCCGGTCCTTGGCCTTTCCAGCAGCATCCACAAGGTGGAACCCGGAGCGAAAGCATCCAGGCCCGGGGGCTGACCCATCCCAGCGCCGAAGGAGGGACGGCTGCGAGGCTCCAGAGACCGCTTCGGACACTGGGGAGGAAGCTGAGTGCCCTTGCTGGCTCGCCATGCCGCAAGCCCCTGGCCTCTGCCTGCTGGCTGCTGCGCTGAGCCTGGGCCTGCGCCCTGCCACGGGGGGCATGGACTCCTGCTACGATGCGCAGGGGCGAGCCCGGCGCTGCATGCCCGTCTTCGAGAACGCGGCGTTCGGCCGGGAGGTGCAGGTGACCAACACGTGCGGGTCCCCGCCAGAGGACTACTGCCTGCAGATGGGCGACGGGCGCTCCACCCAGCTGTGCCGCCGCTGTGACATGGGCGACCCCCTGCGCCACCATAATGCCACCTACCTGACCGACTTCCACAGCCAGGAAGAGAGCACCTGGTGGCAGAGCCAGTCCATGGCCTTTGGGGTCCAGCACCCCAACTCTGTCAACATCACCCTCTGCCTGGGTAAGTGCAGCCAGAATCCCCCCATCCGCCCCGTCCCCAGGGACCTGCCCAACCAAGGGGTTGTAGGAGCCCCTCGAGTCTCCTGCTGGCTGCCCCCCACCCCTCCAGCAGTTGGGGCTTGGCATGGGGTGCTGGAAAGAGACAGTCCTTGGAGTGAAGAGGGTGGCTGGTGGGTCCAGCCTGAAATGATTCCTTGTGAACTGGCACAGAGAGATGGGATTCATTTGCTCTACAGCTGGGTGGGGGAAACGGGACAGTCTAGCCATCGGGCACTAGCTGGAGCAGCTGGACTTCTCTCCCTTGCTCTGGTGCTCCCCCGGGCAAGTCCTTTACCCTTCCCTGTGCCTGCCTAACCCAGCAAATGGCACGGCCCTGCCTCCAGGGCTCTCAGGAGGAGAAACACTGGAGCACTGGGGGTTGCTGGGGTCTTGCAGTGGCAGGAGACCACGAGATGGGGGTGAGATGGGGCAGGGCGCTGGCAGGGAGATTGGGAAGTGGAGTTTGTTTCTTGCTGGGCTCAAAGTGGCCAGGGCAGGGTGAGGATGTGCCAAGGGGCTGATGCGATCCAGGAGGTGTGCGAGCATCGAACAACATCTCTGTCACGCTGCCATTTGGCACCAACATGACGCCACTACAGCTGGGGAAGGATGGCCGGCAGGGTGACTCAGCCTTGGCATGGCTGGAGCACTTTCCATCCATCATCTCACAGGGCTTTGCAGAGCGGAGGCCAGAGAGCGTGGTCCAGCCCTGGGGGAGTTGCCCGTGTCATGGGCGTTGTGTCACAGTCGGAGGGATGCAGAGATTACGTGACTTGTCCGAGGCCACATGGGAAGACAGTGGCAGAGCTGGGAGGCCCCCATGAGGCTGCTAGTGTAACGTGGAGCCCACTAGACCCCAGCTGCCTCTTGTCATCCAGAGGGAAAACATCTGTGTCAAACAGTTAAATACTGAACAAAAAGTACCGCGGGACAGGGCAGCCCAGGTGGGGCCCTCCAGGGGCAGCGCCGATGAAGGGTTCAGAGCCACCGCCTGTGTCTGAGGGGTGGAGTGAATGGGAATCAGTGTTTGCTGCTTCCCACGACTGCGTGGTAGCGGAGGCCGCTGGGTGTGGGCTAAGCAGCCTGGGTAGGCTGCATCAGCACCTCCCAGTCACTCCATTAACTCCAGTGCATTTACCTGGAGCAACATGGCAGGGGGATCCATTTCGATGGGCTGGTCCTCGGCTGCCTGGAAGAAGCATAATTGTCATTGATCTTGGGCCCACGAGGCCGGTTCTCACCTGCCGAGGGCCTGACTCTGTCCGTATACATTATTACCCAACCGGCCTGCCTTGGCTGGAGCCTGACCGTGCGGAGTGGTGCCTGGCGTGTTTAAGAGCTGGATGCGTTTCCCTGCTGTGTGAACGATGCTGGCATTCGCCCAGGCCTGTGATATTTCCATTGTCATTCCTAGCCTGGCGGCCACCTTTATGGTGCGAGGAGAAACAGAGGCACCATTGTTCGGAGCTAAACAAATAGTACGTAGGGATGATGTCCAGGGCTGGAGCTGTGTCGGCTGGTTGTGACTGCTCCTCGGAGACGCACGCTGAGCCTCCCCCGATGGAGTAGGTCGGCGGTGCTGCCCTCCACCCCGCTGATGGGGGGAAGCTGATGCCGCAGCTGCCGGTTCCCCAGAGAGGATGGAGGGAGACGGGAGTAGCTTGTTTCTGCAGAGGTCGCTCCTTTCCCAACCCCCCGTGAATCGACAGACATCTGGTCTGAATCCCGGCAAGGGCGTCCTGCCTGGGATGAAAGATGCCGCCGGGTGAGCCAAACTGCCCTCGTTCCAGATCCCAACACCTCTGCAGAACCAGGGTTTTCCTTCGGACAAAGCCAGGAGAGACCACGGGCATCATCTGGCCTGGCCTGTCTCGCCCATGCCACGGGACTTTCTGGAGTCAGGGTCCATCTGCATGAGAGCAGCTCTTTTCCCCAAGCCTCCCTTTGGATGTAAACCATTTCCTGTGACGCTGGCTCCACCACAGCCCCGGGTAAAATGTTCCAGTGGTTAATTACCCCCGCATCCCGTGACAAATTTAATTCTGCTCTGAATTTGTCTCGAGTCCCAGCCGTGGGATCGTGCTGTAGCTCTGATAGATGGAAGAGTCCTCTGTTGTCTGCTTTCCGTTCCCTGTGGAGATCTTATGCGCCGGGATCTGGTCACTCCCAGCCTTCCCTTGGTTAAGTTGAATACACGGGGTTCCTTGTATCCCTCGCTGGAGGGCATGTTTCTCAATGCTTCTTTTAAATTCTCATGACTGTACTCTGAACCCCTCCACGTTGTCAACATCCTCTTGAACCGTGGGCCCCAGAACTGGGCACAGTTTTCCAACGGAGTCGCAGCTGTGCCAAATGCAGAGGTACTCCAGCCGCTCTGCTCCTACTCCATAGTCCCCCGATGACGCATCCCTCTTGATTAAAAAGTCATGCTGGGAGTTCACAATCAATGGGAGACCCTCCATCACCCCCAAGTCCTTGCCAGAGTTGCTGCTTTCCCGTACGGAGACCCCCTCTCCTGTAAGGTGGCCTCCCTTCTCTTCCTTAGACGTGCAGTGTTACATTTGGCCGTACAAAAACGCCTTCCTATGCCCAGCTTGCAAAATGGTCCAGGTCACTCTGTCGGCACCCTGCCCTCTTAATACTCCCCGTCTTTGCATCATCTTCAGGACTTCATCGTGCTCTCTCAGCCTTTCCTTTCAGGTCATTCATAACTAATGTTAAATAGCTTCATCTCTGCAGGACCCCATTAGAAAGAGCTCCTCTTTGATTGTCTATTTAGTTATGCTTTGAACTCTGTCAATTAACCAATTTTTAATCTGTTTAATGATGCCATTTTGGGCTTGTGTCACCCTAGTTTCTTAATCAGTATGTTGTGTAAAACCAAGTCAAATGCCTTGCAGAAGCTGACACTGTCACTTTTACCAATGGAGGCTTGTAATCTCAACCACAAAAACATCAGGTTAATTTGACAAGATCTATTTTCCAGAAACCCATGCTAATTACCATTAATTATAGCATGCTTCTTTCATTCTGTATTCATCGAGTCTCCTATCTGCCATTCCATCTTTTTGCCCATTTTGCTTGAAGTCAAGCTGTCAGACTTATAACGACCTAGATCATCCCAGCTACCCTTTCGAGACACAGCATGACATTAGCTTTCTTCCAGCTGACTTTGTCAGCGTTTCGAGGTGGCGGACGATCAGGCCGAATGATCCAGCCATCTCGGCCAAATCTTTTAAGACTCCACGCACGTGAACTTCTTGGACCTGCCTGTCGTAGACTGCCTGGTCTTAGCGGCGTTCCTAGAATATGCCAGTCTACGAAACCTCTTCCTGGGCCCCTGGGGGACCAGGATGGACCTGTTGCCTCCTACATCTGAATCCTTGTGCAACTGCTTTCTTTTTTGTCCTGGGAACTACTGCTTGGCTTCTCCACTGGAGACCTTTCAGGCTGACAGTAATACTCCATCTGCCTGTCATGTTTTGCATCAGGAAACCATGGGGAATTTTACACCCTTCGACCCCTTTTGCCTCTTGTGAGATGGGTAAATATTATTCCTCCCATCTTACATCTAAGCAAACTGATGCACAAACAGAAGAGAACGCAGGAGTCCTCCTTTAACGGCCTGATCGCAGGCCCCGTAGTGCTTGTTCTTCCCTCCAACCTGCATGTCAGATCTTCTTCTGACATGATTTAAAGGAGAAATCATTATGTGCTGGAGTTTCTCCCTTGGTGACAGCCACGTCTGTAGTCATGGGGCAATGGGGAGTATCACTGGAGTAACAGAGAGCGTTGTAACTTGAAGCCAGTTTCTGGATCAGGAGCTAACTCCAAAAGCTTCCTTGATGGTCAGTGCTTTGTTCCCTGGACAACTTGGATGCCTGAACCTGGGAACCCCAATTTTCCTCTCCTCCCTTCTTGCCCCGAACCGGAGCTTATCCCACAGGGTTCGGTTGCTGGTTGTTTGTTGACACAGTGCACAGACCAGCTTCTCTCCCAGAGGAAACTGTTCTGCCCGTTGACTGCTCTGACCTCCCTCTGTTTTCCTAGACACCCCCCAAGGAATTTCCTTCTGGGAATAAACCCACCCAAGACACTGAGAGTCCCAGAGTCCTCCAAGGTGTGGGGGACGTCCCCAGCACAGAAAGCAGTACACGCTTTGCACCCATGGCCTCTCTGATCCACTCCAGACCCCTGTACCCTGCAGGAATGCCCATTCGTGCCAGCCACCCACAAGGCCTATTTTCTGCCTCCCTGAGAGTCTTATTGAGCTCCGCCAAACTCACTTTCCCAAAATACTGTATTTCTCTCTGGCTAAATGCACGTATGCATCAGAAAGAGCAACCAAATGGAAACAGGTCAGGGAGCCCAGAGGTCATCAATGCATTCATCCCTCAACGGCATCAATTTAGGCAGCTCCCGGAGGCTGATAGGGAGGAGCAGAGGGCAGTCGGGATGGCTGGAGAAGGTGGATCGAACCACCGTGATGGGCCGGATCCTGGGAGGGGCTGCGTCTCCATGTCACTGAAGCCGTGGGAGCGCAGGGTGTGGGCAGGAGCTTTGGCGCTTGGCTTAGACCCAGCCTTGTGTGAGGTTGCGTCTTCAGGGAGCTGAGCTGCGTCCAGCTTTCCCCCCAACGCCTGTGTCTCTTGCAGGGCTAGTCCCTGGTAGGCTGTCGGGCCTGGCCGGTCCGGGACCGGCCTTCTGCCCAGTCCCTCGCAGAGGTCCCCCCCGGGCTTGCAGGAGCCCGAGTTAACTCGGTTCCTTTAGGGGATTCTTGCAGAGTCACAGCCCGTGGCTGACATGGTCCATATGGGCCCAATTAAACGTTTGTTGTCTTAGTCCCGAAATAACCCCTCTAACATCCCGAACTTATTATCTTTTCAAATAAAGCCAAGGCTTGTAGCTAATTATGGAGGAAGCCAGTCTTTGAGCTGGCCCAGCCCTTTGTCTCATACAATTAAGCAGTTTGATATTTGCATTTAGGCTTTTTCTTTAACTCTTAGAGGTGGTTTCAGGGTTGGGTTGAAGGCCCCAGAGCCTGGAGTCCTCTGCCGCTCCTCTGTACAGCCTATGCAACAGCAGTGCTGCACAGCCCTGGCTTTGAGGATATCAAGATCTGCTCCCCACAAACCGCACCTTTCCTCGTGCTGCCCAAAAGAAGCCAGTTAGTGATGCTGGACCTGATGGGCCTCTCCTTTCCACTGGTTTTGCACTGCTCTGGTTCCCTGGGGCCAGCTCGAGAGCTGGCACCAATTAGCATGATGGCATTGGCCTTGCCATGGGGGCAAGTGGGTCATTGGCTCTGTGGCATTGCTCCTCAGTGGCATAGGTGAGCTCTGAACTGGGTCCAATGCGCAGGAAGGGTTTTGTAATGGGGGTATCTGCGCCCCGGACTTGGGCTCAAGACCCAGCAGGCTTGTTGCACCAGTGTATCTGGGCAATGGCTTGGGCACAGTCGTGCTGGGTCGGATTTTAGCAGGCACCAGGATCTGAGCGCCTGTGCCCCAGCTCTGACCCCAGTGTGGATGGGCTGGCCAGTTCCTAACATCCAGTCTCTTCCTTCCCGTTGTTGGCATGCGGCAGCGTCTGAACAGCAGCCGCGTTGCTTTCTTTGGACTGGCATATCTGGTTGTGTATCAAGAGAAACAAAAGAGGCGGAAGTAAACACGGGGCTTGGAGTAGCAGGCTGCAGGACCTGGTATGTCCTGCCCAGAGCTGATGCTGTGCTGAGCGAGAGGAGCGTGTGGCCACTCTGTGAGCAGCCCCTGCCCACCTCGGGTTAACCTGGGCCGTGCACAGAGGAGGGAGCCCTGGCTGCTCTGATCTCCTGTGTTTCTCAGGGCAGCTTGTCTTCCCAACTGGCCCACCTGCCCTACTCGTTCTAGCCATTAAATCTGGAAGCTGATGTTGTGCTTGTGCAGAAAGCGGCAGTCCGGGGGCTGAAGTCTTCCACCCAAGAAGTACAGCAGAGGCAGCCACGTGTGGCTGGGTATTGGGTGTCCTGAGCATCAGGACTCCGGGGTCCTATTTCAGACCCATAAAATGAGGTTAATGGTTCTTAAACTCCTTGCAGTTTAGAAGTACATGTCAGGGGTTTCTTATGGGGCATGGCATATATAATGTGTCCTGGTTACCCCATGACCCCATCTTTGGTGCAGTATGCCACCAGATTTTGGCAGGCACGTGGAAATCTGAAGTCCTTCACACCCCAGGGAAGCTCTGCAGGCATGGGGGAGCTCACTCTCCTCCTCGCTGTCTCCTCTTCTCTCCTCTCGCACCAGGGAAGTCGTACGAAATCACCTACGTGCGGCTGAAGTTCCACACCAGCCGGCCGGAGAGCTTTGCCATTTACAAGCGCAGCCGCGCCGGCGGGCCCTGGGTACCGTACCAATACTACAGTGCTTCCTGCAGGAAGACGTACGGGAAACGGGAGAGGCAGTACCTGCGGCCCGGTGAGGACGAGCATGTGGCCTTCTGCACTGAGGAGTTTAGCGACATCTCCCCGCTGAGTGGAGGGAACGTGGCCTTCTCTACCTTGGAAGGCCGGCCCAGCGCCTACAGCTTTGACCAGAGCCTCGTTCTGCAGGTACCAGGGTTGGCTGGGGGTGGGTGCATGCATGGTGGTAGGTCGGGGGAGTTGCCGGTGCTCAGAGATCAGTGCTCTGATTATCATGGTGTGGGTGCCATAGAGATACCTGCTCGAAGGCAAAGAGAGCGACTCCGCTCCTAATGCCTTTAGGAGATGGTGGGAGCCTGTGTGCATCTACATGTGTATGTAGGAAGGCACAGATGAGCCAGGCTTGCATGGGTTGGATTTATAGGGTCCTGCTGGGCTATATCCCATGGTCCAGACTCCCATGGTAGCTATTGCCCCTTCTGCTCCATCTTGTAACAGAGCTGCTGACTCTATTTCCTAATTTAGAGGCATTCGCCTGAGCCATTCCTCATATGCTGTGCCCTGGGTTTTGCAGGACTGGGTGACTGTCACCGACCTGCTCATCTCCTTGAACCGGCTCAACACATTTGGGGATGACATCTTCAAGGACCCCAAGGTGCTGCAGTCCTACTACTATGCCATCACAGACTTCTCCGTAGGCGGCAGGTAGGGGGGCTGCCAGGCTGGTGACGGGAGCAGTGTGGAGCAGGAGGAAACATATCTCTGAGCAAAAGACCCAGACTCCTGGGTCCTGCCTCCAGCTCTGCAGTTCAGTAGCTGTGTGACCTTGTCACATCACTTAAATCTCTCCATGCCTCTGTTTTCCCATCTGTAAAATGGAGCTGATACCATACAGGAGTTTGCGAGACCCTCCAGTGAGAATCCTTTACACCTGAGTTGTCCCGTGACACAGGGCACCACGTCCGTTCATTGGCCATCCTCCGTCTTGGTCCTTCCAAAAAGCCCTCTCAGTGGCATGAATTTCAGTGAGTTCAAGGGTCCTCCTGTTTCTGCCTAAATGTCCCTCATTACAGCCCCTGCTCCCCGGAAAGCTGGTGCTGTAGGAACGTTCCTGCTATGGGAGGGATGGGGAACTTCCAGGTGCAGCTGATGGAGACCCCCTTCTGGGAAATGGAGCCAGGCACACAAGCTGGTTGTGGGAATCTGCTTGTGTGGGATGGGCCTTTGCACAATTAGAAACCTAAAATGCAGCTTCATTGTAGCCGGAAAGAAGGGTGCTTCCCATGCCATCAGCTGAAGCAAAGCCCAGAGACAAGCATGGTTGGTGGTAGCTGCAGACACCCTCCAGGGCCTTGCAGATTCAATGCCAGCCTGCTCATTCCCATAAGGCATGTGGCCACTTCCTTGCTGCCCCTGGCACTGAAGCCTGGGGGCACACTGTTGGCAGGAGGGAAAGGCTGTGGGTGGAGGGCTGAGGGATCCTGTCTAGCTAAGCTCGTTTTCCTTTCATCTGCCACGTCAGCCCAAAATTACCCTTCGGGAGCCTGCAGAGGACACTTGGCATCTTGAGGATGAGCTGGGCAAGGGTTGTGTTCAGTGCTGGTGAGGAACCACCCTGGATATGCCAGGCTCCTCATGCCCTCGGTGCCCTTCCTCCCAGGCTCCCAAGTGGAGCAAGTCTGTGTCTGCTCCATCTCGCTGCTCCTGCCACATGTCCCAGTGACCCTTGAGAGCAGCGCCCCGTGCTCCGGGGCAGAGACACAGCCAAGAAGCAGGGTGGGAGAAGTGCTGCAGGCTGCAGGAGGAGCAGCCTTGACCGTCTCTAACACCCCGGGCCCAAACAGCTGGAGTTTGTTAGTGCTAGATTTAGGCCACCCTCAGTCTGAATGACCTCATGGCTGGATCTGCCGGGGACTGCATCGGGGAAGGGGCAGCAGCTGGCTGGCCTTGAAGCAGCCTGGCCTCTGCTCCTGTCTCTCCCCCTCCGGCGCGGGTGACGTCCATCCTGTCCAAAGCCAGTCACAATAAATGACCTTCCAGGGGGCCCAGAAGCTGCTACCCCAGGCCCTTTCAGGCTTCTCCGTTCCAGCTGCTACCGTGCACTTGGTCTGTGGGCTCCATCCTCCCTTCTTGGTGCGTGCTGGAGGCAGCTGCCCCATCCAGCAGACCAGAGCTCTCCCCTGCCAAGCGGCTGGGAGCCGGTCTCAAATGGGCCTTGCTTTGCATGCTTCTGCTTACCGTGGCTCAGAGCAGGGCACCTACAAGAAATAGCCTCCTTTCATCTTCCAGCTGAGATTCGCAATGCTTCGCTCACTTCTGCCTCCATCAGTCCTTTACCTTTTTCAAAACGCTTTCTGGATGCACATGCGTTGCGAGGGGCCCAGTGTACGGGCCCGAGGGGTAGCTGATCCAGGGTTGCTGCTCACTCTGGCTGCCACCTCGAGATAACACCTTAGTGCAGCCTCTCTGAGTCCATCCTGGCTTGGGGCACATCCTCCTAGGGCTTCCCTGCGGTCAGTGCAAGCTGAGTCCAAACTGGGAGCGAATGGCTCTGCTGAGCCAGGTGCTCCCTGCGGCTTAAGGTCTGCAGGAGCTGAAGGCAGGTGGAAACCGTGGCTCTCCTCCTCTGGCCCCTTCCAGGTGCAAGTGCAATGGCCATGCCAGCGAGTGTGCCCCGAACGAGGCTGGGCAGCTGGCTTGCCTCTGCCAGCACAACACTACCGGCATGGACTGTGAGCAGTGCCAGGCCTTCTACCAGGACCGGCCGTGGGCGCGCGGCACGGCGGAGTCTGCTAACGAATGCCTCCGTGAGTACCCCGATCCTGTGCCATGTGCCTGTGGGCTCTCTCTTGGCTACAAGGTGCCAGGGGATTTTTTTTACCCATACTTGTGGCGGGAGTAGGAAAGAAGCGGCAGCGTTCATGGGAAGTCACTGAGCCTGCTGGCTGCACTGCAGGGCAATCTCCACCCAAGAGCACTGTCCTACTGGGGATAGGATGGAGGGCCAGCATCTCTGGCCTGAATTCATCTCCCGTAATGCCTCTGGTGCCTCAGGGGTGTCAGGGTGCTTCCTTAGGCTCATGACTGCCGTGGAAGGCACAGCTGGGGCCTCCTCTCTGCTCACTCCACACTTACCAGGTTGAGCTGGTGCCCTGCCCTGCTCCAGGTGGGAAGCTCCAGCCCTGCTACCAGCATTGGAAAGCTGTGTCTACTCTCTCAAGGGGGCTTTTCTGCATAGGTTGCAGGATCCAGTCCCTGCCCAGTGGGTCATGGTTGACCCAGGGGGTTGTAGTGGGCCATGAGTCATAGCACCTGATGCCCAGCGAAGTCATTTCAGGGTCTTTGATTGCCCCGGGGCAGCCACGTCTCCTATTCCCCTGGCACACGACAGAGACCGGCTGCCACATCATACAGATGTGGTGAGAAAATGCCTGCCCTGGCACCTTTTGTGGCCAGAGGGAACCCCCAGAGCCCTCTGTTGTCAGTGCATGCAGCAGCCAGGCTGAAGACCTGCAGAGCAGAGCACAGCCCTTCACCACCATCTCTCTCCAGCATCCCAGGAGTGTGGGGGGCAGATTTTGGGGGCAGGGACCATGCATTTTTGTGCCTGAGACTCCTCAGTGTTGCTGCAGCACAACACAGGACAATGCTGAGAGGTGATGGAGGGAGATAACACGAGCCCTTCACTGCAGGGAACCTAGGCTGGACCCAGCTGTGGTCCTTGATGGTGGGTCCATGTCAAGGCCCAGGCCCTCCTCAACCTCCTACAGCCATGCCGACCCACCACCTCTGGCTGTCCTCTTCATGCTCTGTGAAGTTCCCGTTCTCTCTCCTTCCCCTGGCACAGCGTGCAACTGCAGCGGACACTCAGACCAATGCTTCTATGACCGGGAGCTGTACCGCAGCACTGGGCACGGCGGGCACTGCCGCCACTGCCGGGACAACACAGACGGGCCGCACTGCGAGCGCTGTCGGCCGAATTTCTACCGCTGGGATGGGTGGGCAGCCTGCCAGCCCTGCAGCTGCAACGTGGCAGGTAGGCAGGGCAGTGGGGAGCACGCTGGCAGGGGCATGGCTGATGCCACAGCCCCATCTGCTGCTCCAACCACCCTTGGGATGGGTCTTGGGGCAAGTTTACTCTAGAAGAGGGTACCGGCAGGGCTCAGGGCTGCTGGAAGCCCGGTGCAGATGGCCAAATGGGCTGTGAAGGGATTTTGCCAGAACATCTTGTTTCACTCACTGCTCCAGAGTCATCTGAACCTTTGGTTACCCCAGCACACCTCTCTGGGACCCCCAGGCCCAGCCTGTGCGCTGCAGAGCTGGAAGGAAGCATGCTCTGGGCTGGGGGCACGGGCAGGAATATGGGTGGCAGTAGCTGTGGGGCAGGCCTACCTAAGCTGTCCCCCTGAATTCCTGGGTGGAAGAAGCCTTAAATGTCCACGAGTGTGTCTCCCCCGCTTGCCCTCATCCTCGCCCTCCTCCAGACTCCCTGGCTTGCCCGCTGTCCCAGCCTTGGCACCTCTCGGTCCCCCGCAGGGTCCCTGCAGCTCCAGTGTGACAGCTCCGGAGCCTGCCCCTGCAAGGCCACCGTGACCGGCTGGAAGTGCGAGCGCTGCCAGGACGGTTTTCACTCCCTCAGTGAAGGGGGCTGCAGGTGAGAGATGCCCTGGGCTTTAGGAGTGCAGACTGGCACCCCCGCGCCCATCCCATCCCTCTCCTGGGCTGTGGGGAGGGCGGTTCAGTGCTGGGCTCCCCTCTGCATCCTGCCCCAGAGAGCAGCATCGACTTGGCCTGGGCAGCAGGAGGAGGGGAGGCCTTGCAGGTGCCGGTAGGGGATGAGCTGGGGCACGGGGTTTGCTCTCACCTCGTTGGTTCTTGCCCCCGCAGGCCCTGCGACTGTGATCCCGCCGGCAGCGTGGGGATGTGCGACTCCAACTCAGGGCGCTGCACCTGCAAGGAGAAGGTGGAAGGGCACCTGTGCAACATGTGAGCTGAGCAGCTCCTCAGGCTGTGCCCGGGGCAGTGTTGGATGGGGGCAGGGGCAGGGCTGGGGAAGTGCCTTCCCCTTTGGCAGTGGGGGTGGGAGCCCAGCCTGCCTCTCTGTAGCGCCTCTTGGCTGTAGGGGGAACCAGGAATGTCCTCCTTGCTTCCAGCGGGGTTTGGAGCAGAGATGGGGGAAGGGGAGAGCTCCCCACTTCTTGCTGGAGATGAAAGGGCTGCCCTGGCCTTGCCTGCCCCAGCCACCCACAGCCGGTGCTGCCGTGATGGTTCATTTCCCCAAACCCCCTGCAGCGGTGCCTGCTTGAGGGGCTGGGATCAGGATTGGCTTGGAGCAACTTTCCTCCTCCTTCGGGCTCATGCACACACACCTCTCCCCGCGCTGCGTGGGGCTGCGAGGGAAGTAGCTGTGAGCTCCCCCTGCCCCGTTCATAACAGTGCATTTCTTCTCCCTGGTGCCAGATGCCAGCCTGGCTCATTTAACCTGCAGCCCCACAACCCCGCCGGCTGCACCAGCTGCTTCTGTTACGGCCACTCAAACGTGTGTACAGCGGCCGCCGGGTACGAGGTGCATCGCATCCACTCCGACTTCAGCCAAGGTACCAGCCTGCCAGTCTGGGAGCAGCACAGCTGCCTGCTTTGGAGATGGTCACAGGCAAAGAGGTCTCCCCCCACAGCCCTGGGCCCCCTGCGCTCCTCTGGGGCATATTCGCTGTGTTGCCACCCCTGGCTCGTAGCAAGGCGCAGCAGGGTCCTGCTCACCCTTTGCAGAAGTGGTGGGAAGGAGCCAAAAGGACTGCTCCCTCCTCTGAGCTCTTGTGTCAGCATCACAACCTCAGCCGAGTCGCTGTGTGTAGCCGGGCTCATCCCCACTGGGGAAAGGCCCCTGGATGAGCACAGCTTTGAGGGGAGAGGAGCAGGACGGTCTCTGCCAGCTCTGCAGCTGGAGGGGCAAGCATGGGGCTGAACGCCGTCCCCAGGCTCTGTATCTGAGGAGACTGTGCCCTCTGCCGAGGACTCAGGGCAACAGCAACATCAAACCCTCCAGCTGGTCCAGAGGCTGCTCTCCCACCACCCATCTGAGGGGTCTGCCTGGGAGCTTGTCCCCTCTGATGGGGCTTGTCCCGTGGCTTCGGGATGGGAGTGTGCGGAGAAAGGCCTGAAAAGCCGAATCAGCCCTTCCTGGCCCAGGGGAAAATATCCTTATGGCTTTGCCAGGTGGTGGCTCAGCTCTGCTTATGAATGCTCCCTGACCTGGGCACTGCTGCCAGAGACCCAGAGGGTGAAGATTCCTCAAGAAGAAGCGTGTCCTGATTGAACTAAAAATGCCGTGTCCTTCGCGGTGTGGACATGCCATGTCCCCTAGCTCTGGAACGGACGTAGGGCCTGATCTAGCCCATGCAGGGGTGGCCCCGGGAGGGACGTGACTCTCAAATGGGCCAGGCAGTCAGTGGCTCAGCACCCGCCACCGTTCTCACTGCTTCATGCTTCCCCGCTGATTTGGGGTGTCTCCACTGTGCTCCTGGGGAAGCCAGAGAGGGCTCGTGGGATAAATTTGGGCTCATTCGAGTCAGGGGTTCCTTGAATATGGAAAAGCTAGATGTCCACGTGGCCTCCCTTCATGACCCTCTGGCCAGGTCAAGACTTTTTGGGGGCGGACGGTCGTTCCTCATTGAAACCCCCGCGCTGGCTCTCCCGTCAGGCCAGCGGCCCGCTCAGGTGTTGTGTATCCGTCACGCAGGGCCTGAGGGCTGGAAAGCTGAGGCACCAGGTGGCAAGGAGACTCCTCTGCATTGGGCCAAGGGGAAGATCTACCTCGAGCAGGAGCCAGCGGATTTCATCGCGCCGGGTACGGCCTGGGTATCGATGAGGGGCGTCGGGACGGCAGTCATTATGCGGCTGCAGCAGAACCCACGCTGGGGTCGGTTGTTTAAATCATCATCATTAAATCATCTGTGGATGAAATCATGGTGCCTTCGAAGCCAGGCAGAGTGCCCTGATGCTCAGTTTTATCTCCTGCCCTGCCGTTGATTTGCTGGGTGAGCTCAGGCAGCAGTGTCCCTTCCTGTTCAGTACATCCCTATCTAGGAAATGACTCTCACCTCTCTTGGGGGGAGTGTTTGGAGATCTGCAGGTGAGCAGCACTGCGTAGGAGCTGGGCATTTCCCCTTGTCCATAGGGGCTGTGGGTCTTCTTGCCACGAGGGGGAATTCATGCTGCCAACAGTGTGGTTATAGGGAGGTCTGGGGGCTGCACACCCCAGGTATGCTGGCTGAAACATAACATTAGAAGTGGCATCCTGGTCACAGAGTCACAGAAGTTCAGGCCTGGAAGGGACCTCGGGAGATCATCGGGTCCAGCCCCCTGCTCTGGGCAGGAAAGACCCCTGGGGTCAAATAACTAGCCCTGGGGTCCATCTAGCCCCGTTCCCGACAGTGGCAGGGGTGGATGCTATAGAGGGAGAGCACTGAAATGGATATTTCTTGAGTGATCTGTCCCCTATTCAATACCCTCTCTGGCATCCACCATTATTGGCTCTAGAGATGCCAGAGGAAACATCTCGAACCGCTCTGCTCAATAGCTGCGAATAGATCGATCATCCACAAATCCATTTTCGACCTGGAGGGATGTGGGCAGTGGGGTCCCCC